GGATGCTCTGCTGCATCAGGACCTGGACGACTTGCCATCATTGAAAGAGCCATGAATTACACTCTGGATCAGAGAGTTCTACACGAGAACGTCAGGCCACCTATCCCTGAGCTGAAGCTGAAGCACAGCTGGCTCAGGCGGCAAGACAATGATCCCAAACACGCAAGCAAGTCTACATCAGCATGGCTGAAGAACTAGACATTTAGTTTTGGAATGGCTTCTCAAAGTCCAGAGCTAAATGATGCGGCACGACCTGAAACAAACAGTTCATGCTTGAGAAACCAGGAATGTCACTAGGCTTAAGCAGTTCTGCATGGAGGAGTGGGCCACAACTCCTCCACAGCACTGTGAGAGACTGATCAATAACTACAGGGAATGCCTGGTTGCAGTTATTGCTGCTAAAGATGGTATAACCAGTTATTGAGTCCAAGAGGGCAATTACTTTTTCAACTGGGGGATTGGAGCACTTTTTTTAATAAATAAATGAAATGTTACATGTCATTTGTTCACTCAGATGAGTCCCTGTCATCTACTATTAGGTTTTGGTTGAAGATCTGATCATATTCACTGTGAAAAATATGCAATAATACAGAACTATATATTTCTTCACAGCACTATATATTTCTTAATTTCTGAGGCTTAGAGTGTTTTTCAGATTTTAATTAATATTAATTTTGTGTCCTGAGATGGGAACCTGTTTCTTGTCGATTTAGCCCTGGCTCATTGAAACCTTGGTTTCTGGTTTCTAATCTTAGTGCTACAGTACATGAATCAAATACTAACTTTCCAATAAATGGAAAACATTAAATAACAATGCCAATGAGAGAAAAAAGTGTAACATTCTTTGAACTAAAAGCATTGAATAGACTTTTTAATCATTGCAAACTTCAATAACAATAAAAAAATTAAATACATCAATACAATTTGCTGCAGAGTATATTTGCCATTGTAATTATATTATGAATTTTCTATCAACTTCCCCCACTTTTAAACTAATATGGTAAATCATACTGGATGCCCACCAACAACCCAGCAGCACAAACTCTTCATGATATTTGTGACCAGGAGCTAGACCGTCTATCTCCAGCCATGAACTCTGTCTCCAAACATGTACTTTTTTCATCCACACAGAACCAAGAGGAGAGTCTGGGGACCAGCATTTGCTAATGTTCCTGCGTGCACATTCTAACACTTCAAGAGCTAGCCAATTTGTTTTTTGTTCCTAAAACATCCTCCTCTCTGGGCCCTAAGGTTAACAGATGTGCAGAACAAAGTCCCACTTTCGGAGCAAGATGCCAAATTTTCCAACAAAAACAAACAAACGCTGGAACACAGCATATTCTGCAAGATCAAAGAACACAGAGCTCCGCTTTTGATGTATCACACAGGTAGTACAGGTGGTATCTAGCCTGTTTTTGCAAATCAGTCAACATATAAAAATCTTCAGTAATTCATTCTCAATACTCAACATCAAACAAAGCTTGTCTTTAATGCAGTTCAGATCTAAAGGGTTCAGTGCACAAGAAAAGGCCAACAATGAGAGTTATTTGCGGGTAAAGCGTTTAATGACAACTGCCGAGATATGCATGTCCATGGTTATCAGGGAAAAGTCAGCAACTGCCTGGTTTAACTTTCTTACATTAACATGTGACATTTAATTCATGTACACAAATGATCCTTGACTTTCAGTTTTTGCACTCTCCTGTCATTCAGCCTGGACAAATGGCACCCATGATATGGAATTAATGAAGAGCAAGGTGATGTTAACTAGAATTGTAATAAATGCTTTCTCCATTTTACGATTACAGACCTACACTTCAGAGCAGGAGCGAGTAATGTTAATTCCACATTGTGAAACAGAAATGAGAAATTTCTCCCCATCTTGTGCCCATTGCTTGCTGGGGAAGCTCCAGCTCCCCCACAACCCTGAATTGGATACAGTAGTCAGAAAATAGATGGATGGAGTTTACCTCACATTAACAACCCAAAGAAGCCATAGGTATTGAACTGATTTCACAACTGCATACTAATTATGCACTGAAATCTACACTGAATGTTATCTAGTACAATACATTGCACTGTATAAAATATATTATATTGTACTGCATCGCCTGCGATGTTTTCAAAAGACAAATGGCTTCATAGGGGGCAGACCGGAGGAGTCTGTCTACAGATCTACATTCTCCCCAGCGTGTGGTCACAGGGGTTACAACTGAAAAAGAAGACGCAAAAAAAAGCTTATTTTCCAAATGGAATGGGTATATAAAAATAATAGGCAATTTGAATTTTTATTATACAAAAAATGAGGTCTGAATCAAATGACAGTTATTTTGCATATTATCATAGGGTTATGTTTGAAAACCATCAGAAGATAAGTCGTCGCAGTGTGCTGACGAGCAGATTACTGCTTGCTATTTAGATAGAGACCAACAACAGAACCAGCACTGTATACTTAATATCGCAAAATACAGAATACAGTCTAGTAAACAGAGATAAAGGGTAGTTTCACCTGCATTATTAAATTAAAACAATTAAAACATAAGACTGATCAATGAGTCAAAATCAGTCTTTTTTTTTTACATACACATACACCTCTAGTATCATGAGTGGCATGATGTTCATGTGTACATTTTACTGATGCAATACATTTTTATTCAGGAGGATTTAATGGCAAGCTAGCAATGTT